CCTCTCTGCAATAACTCTCAATTTGAATGGTCTCAATTCCACAATCAAAAGACAGGCTAGAAGAATGGAGCAAGAAAAAAATGATAATCACAACAGTATGCTATATGCAAAACCAAACAAAAGAAACTCATACATTAAAAATCAAAAAATGAAAATCCATATTCCATGCAAAAGGAATAAAGAAAAATAGATAAAATATCTTATATTAAGACAAAGTGGACTTCAAGCCAAAACTGATCAAAAGGAGCAAAGAAAGTTATTACATACTGGTTAGAGGAAAAATTCAACAGGAAGAGGTAACATGCACTGACCAATGGCACATCCAACTTTATAAAACAAGTACTGCTAGACATAAAAGATTAGACATAAATACAATTATATTGGGGTAATCCAGTACCCTAATGTCACAAACAGATAGATCAATCAGACAAAAAATAATCAATAAAAAAATCAGAGTAGAACAAAATCTTTGAACAAATGGACTTAATGGATATCTAAACAGTACTGCATTCAAAAACAACAGAACTTGCATTCTCTTCTGCAGCACATAGGACTTTCTCAAAAATACACCATATACTAACTAATAAATTGGCTTTAAGTGAATGAAAAATATTTGAAATTCTACCATGCATACTATTAGACTAGAGCGCAATGGAGTTGGACATCATCAACAGCAAAATAACACCAAAGTTATGCAACTTCATGGAAACCAAACAGTACATTTTAACTAAACAGTAGGTTAATTTCCTGCTTTCTTTCACCAGTAGTGCAGTGGCGGTCACCACTTGTACACATTTTGGCCATTTTCTAGGGACTGGATCCAGGAGTTGAGACAAAGGCAATAGGCTGTTTCTTTCCTCCCTGGGTTTGAGGTCCCTGGTTACCAACAGATGAAAAGGCTTCTGTAGGGATGGCAAGGCTAGAACTGGAGCAGAAATGAGGGCCTGTTTAAGGTCCTCAGTTGCCTGGGTTTCGTCTCAGGATCATCCTAGAGGGTCATGTTCTCCTAGCAATTTTGAATATAGATCTTTAGTTTTTTGTGCATAAAAATTAATCCACAATCAGCAATATCTAATTAGATCCAGGAATTTTTGAAGTTCTGTTTTAGTCCTTGGTAGGAGCACCACTCTTATTCCTATGATCCATTCTGGATTAAGTTTTCATTTCATTTCACTGATTAGGCATCTCAAATACTTAACATCCTTTTCTACAAATTTTAGTTTACATTTATAGACATGCAGTCCTTTGCTCACCCAAGAGGTTGGGCAGATTTATTGTGGACTTTGAGACCTGGTCTTTCTTTTTTTCCAGAGATTAACAGATCCTCCACAGACTGCAAGAATTAAGTTGCTGTGCTTCATTGAAATTCCTTCAACATTCCTTGTTAAATTTGGTCAAACAAGTTTGAAGATTGTGTGAAGCCTTGAGGCAATACTGTCCAGTGGTATTGCTGTTTCCTCCCATTTATGAGGTTTTCCTACTCAAAGGCAAAGAGATCTCAGCTGTTAGCATTTAAGGGACATGCTCAGAAGGCATCCTTTAAATTCACAACACTGAACTTTTTATATTCCTATGGAAACTTACTGAGAAGTATGTATGGGTTGGGCACCATTGCCTGGTGGTCCTGAAAAATCTTGTTTATACCTCTGAGATTTTACACTAGTCACTGTGTCCCACTGGACCTTTTAATGGGGAGAATTGGTGACACACAAGGCTCCAACAGTCCCTCTGTTTTCACTCCTTCTATCACTAATTGTAAACCATTTTTCCCCTGCATAGAAATGGGATGTTGTTTTCTAGAAATTATTTCTCCAGGTTGTTTTAACTCAATTTGTATTGATGTGATTTTTAGACCTCCTTGAAGGCAGGAGATTAGGGAATAGCAAAACTGGCTGGGGAACTAGGTGTGATCTGTTAATTACAAAATCCCAGGACACATGTGCAAAACAGTTTCCAGAGCTCTGCATGTGGACTTTTCATGGTTTTCCGTAGGATGCCCTAGACCTGATGTCAGCCTGAGAAATGGGTAATAAAAAAAGGACAGTCTACACTTGAGTTTTTGCCACTGCTCTCAATCTTCCATGGTAGCCCAGCCTCACACTATAGGGTGTATTTCTTTTCTGACTTTTACTTGACCCAAACTCACTCTGCATAGGCTATTTCTTTTCCTTCCTTTAATTCATAAAACTTTGCTATCATTTGTGCTTGTCTTGATCAATTCTTTGATCAAGGCAAAAACAACCTAGAAATCACTTCCAGAAGGAGACTTCAGCACTCCAAAACCCAAAGATACTTGATTACCGTCCTTCACCTAGCAAGGGAATCAATTCTTTCTTCATCTCCTTCCATTAAAAGATTCATTTTTTACTTTTAATTGGCCTTCTTCTGTGCTTAGTCTGAGGCCCAGTCTTAAAATCAAATCTCATCCTAGAAGATTCACTCCAGCTTTAGGAACACAGAGCAATGATCCTTTGATTTGTTTAAACCCTAATATGATTGGGGTTTTCTCAAATATGGGGACTTGAAATCCTTCTGAAATAAGAGAGTAAGGTGTGGCAAAACTGGCAGGGGAAGTAGGCATGACCTGTTAATTACAGGATCCTGGAATGCATGCACAGAACAGTTCCCAAAGCCCTGCATGTAGACTTGTCATCAGAATTTGAGCCAGTTTCCAATAGGATGGCCTATACCTGATATCAACCTGAGGCATGGGATCCCAACACTACATCTCACTATCCATATGCAGATGTTCTTGTAGTTTTCCTCAAGATTTGCATTGCATGAAAGTACACAGATGACATGAAAAGCTTGCTATCATGATAGGCTTCCCTGTGTTCTCAAGGATGTACTTTTACCTAGCTTTTTCCTCTTTTACTCAGGCTAAGCTCACTCTGCAGAGCTAGTTTCTCCCTCATTCTTCACTTTTCTCTTTTCAAATAAACTTTGTCACTGTTTTTTGCTCATTTCACCCAGTTCTTTGTTTGAGATAAGAAGAACCTGGAATCCAATGCCAGAAGGAGTGGTGAGCACCACAAAACCCAGTAACATTTATTTGGTGAGCCTCTTGTAGAATGAGCTACCCAGTAACTCTTCCCCTTTAACATCTGAAACTAGAAGCTTTCCTGAGAATTTTGTGGAGGTGCTGGTAAGAAAAATCAATAAGGAATGGGCAGTACCTATATCTACCAAGAATGTTATTTGTTTTCTCCTGGCCCCACTCTTAAATTTATCAAGGCCTTCTTGTGGGACCCAGGTAAAAGTAACACCTCACCTCCCTAATTCTCATCAAAGATCATTAGGGATGTAACTTGTTCTCTCCTCAGTTCATGACAGTCCGTCTCAGAATGTCCCAGCTTCATGCATTTGTAAATACATTTGCTATCTGATCACACTGTCTTTGCTTATCCTTTGATAACAATTTTTGGTTCTTACTTTTTTCATTGTAGGAGTCCTGGTTTGACTTCTTTTTAAGGACTTCTTCTGCCATAAAGACCATTATCTTTGTTTTTATTTTTCTTCTCTTTATATAAACTTTTTGTTGTTCCCTAAGCAACTCCTCAATTGACTTTTTATTCCATTCCTCTAATTTTTATAAGTTTCTTGACATGTCAGGCCAGTTCTCAGCTATAAAATTAACTTTGAGGAGGTCTTGTCCCAGTTGACTCTAGGGATCCAGCCCAGAGTACTTTCTTATTTGTTTTTTTTTTTTTAATCGCTGTAAAAAGCAGATAGAATTTCCTCCTTTTCTCATTGAGCCTCAAATGCTTTAGAGATGTTTTGGGACCAGGAGGCAGATTATTTAACCCACTCAATTATCAAATTTCTAAAATCTTGAATTTAATTCCAGTCATTTTCAGCATTATTGTCACAAATAGGATCTTCATTTGGGAACTTTTGCTCTGCTGTACCTTCACCTGGTCCTGGGGGATGAATTTTCTCCCAGGAAAGCATAGCTTCCATTCCTTGTTCCTCCCCGAAAAATAAAATGTTCAAGATAAGACATCAGTTTGGTTCATGTATATAGGTTAGATTTTAAAACTGCCTAACTGCTCCCCTAGCCCCAGATGATCTTCAATTAATAACTGCACTTTCTTTTTTAAAGCTCCTAATTTTAGTGCTAGTGAGGGAAGCATTAACAAATCCAATTTGCCCTCCTCCCATTGGTACCTCATGAAAGGGAAACATTAGAAACAGATTGCTTCTCAGGGAGAGGAAACTTTCTAAGTCCCTCCTTCACTGCTCTAATTCTCTTCTCAAATTTGGAAATGAAGGAGTCACTGGTGTGATGTCCTCTCTCCCTGAGCTCCTTGATTACTTTCTTCCCCTCCTTGAACCTCTTCATAGTGGCCATCATCCTGAAAATTCTTCAGGGTGGGGGCAAACAGGATAAATGAACCTATGACTTTTTATTTTGCATTGTCTCCTCTTGAGCGGAAATACTGGGGTTGACCCTGGAAGCCAATAGAGGGCAGAACCCTCCTCTTGTGAGTCTGGGGTTTTATCATTTAAAAGGGGACTGATGCTTAGCAGACCTAGTCCTCCTCAGACCCAAACTTGGGCCAAATTACAGAGGGCCCTTTGAATGGCTCCCTGGTCCAAATAAAACAATGAAATTTAATCAATTTTCTCTGATTTTTATCTTTGGTCTGAGAACTGCTTTCCCAGTTCTCAAGCATTCTCCCCAATGGATTGCCAGGGGAGGAGTCCAGGGCTTCCTTTTTCCCTGACTCCCTAGGTCTAGATTGTTTGTTCCTCTTTCTCAAAAGGTCCATTTTCTTCACTTTTCTTGTGAACGCCACACCCCTCCATCGCAGTAGAAGAGTCTTGCTCACCCCCAAGAATCACTTCTGTCCCTGGTCATATCTCTTGTGGGAGGGTGAAAACGCAAATTCAGATTGTGCACTAGCTTTGCCTCGGGGACAGGTCTCAGTCACACATACTCAATATCCAGAGGCTGCCACCCAACCACCAAAGGACAGTTTTAGTGCAGTTAGTCCTACCTTGGCTCATGCATGAAATTATGGTTCCTGCAGTGTGCCTTTTTTCTTTTTCTTTCTCATGTCGGTTCCACCGTCTTCAGAAATGTTCTCCCGTCTTTCTGTGGTGGGCCCAGGTGGTGGTGGGCCACCTGAATCTAGTGGTCACTGTGGGCAGACACAAAAATCACAAGCCCTAAATTCTGAGAAAATAATCACCTTGTGAACCCCCAAAACATAAACTCAGAGGTGAGAAGTGCAATGGAAGTGAGCTGTTTAATCATACCACCTTGCAAGGCAGGTGCCTGCACAGGGAACACACACATTTGATTTGGGAAGCGGTGAGCTTTTATGCTTCTAGCTCAAAATATTCCCTTCTCCCATCCCCCTTTGCCTGAGATCAGGGAGTCATAATCTATGTGGAGGGTGATGGGTGATTAAATGTGGTCAGTTTCAATTAGTATTACAAATACCTTCTAATTCTTCAGTAAGGGTGAATACGGTCTAGGAAAATATAAAGAGAATAGAGATGTCCGCGAGAAATGCAAAACTAATTCTGAACGAGGAGATAAATGTGGATATTTTAGGGACAGTATTGAATGGTATAAAAGGGCAAGAGCATGCTACAGAGAGAGGTGGGCATAATATGGAAAACAAGCTAGTAAATATTTTTATTGTTTTGAAATCTGAAAATCCTAGGGTAATGTACTATGAGATAACAGCCTCAATAACTCACCTAGTATAAGAATTTCACATGCCCAGCACTCCCTCACAAAGGGTAGGCTCCAGTTGCCCTGTACGTTTTTAACTTCCAAAAATGTTTCTGGCAATAGGTTCTATATTTATATTATGACTTCAGCAGAAGAAACAGGTGCTTAAGTCTTTTTATCTTCCTATCCTGAATCTAGTTTCTAGATGTACATAGTTCTGTTATGCTGTGTTTATGAAAATCATGTTTATTAAAAAAGACTAAAAAACCAGGAAATTATCAGGAAAAAAGTAAAAAGGAAAATACTGCCCCAATCGTAACGTTCTTTTTTTTTCCCTTTGGCCTTTTTGAGTCAGGGTCTCGCTATGCAGTTCAGGTTGGCCTTGAGCTCACTTTGTAGCCCAGGCTGGTCTCGAACTTGCAACGATCTTCCTGCCTCAGCCTCCTGAGTGCTGAGATTACAGGCATGCACCATCACACCAGGCTATATTACATTCTTTCTTAACTCACTCAACTCTCCAATTTGATTTTAAGGATGGAACCGCAAGGGACTGAGGGGAAGGTGACTAGAGGAAAGACTGCTACTTTTCTGGTTTTGTGGCCTAGAAAAAGATGAGTACTTCTCTTTCTCAGCACAACCATTTAAAAATTAACAATGGTTAATATAACTACGGGAAGATGAAGTCGTGGTAATCTGAGAATGACAAATTCCAACTACAAGGAGTACAGTCCAATTTTGACCTCTGGACTTAACAAAGACAAAATGAGTAGCAAGAACTTTCAAGGTGATGAGGGATTTGGTAGATCAGTTCACTGTTACCGGGAGGGGGAAGTGGGGGCCAGAGTTGAAGGATGACAACCCTCACAAGATCGGGAGCTGATGTGTACTGAAATTCTTACATTCCCAGGCTTCTTTCCCCCTCTGGATATCAGCTCCTTACTGCCCTGCAGTCTTGCACGTTTGTGGCCAAGTTAAGAAAAAAAACATAGATTTTAGCAAGTTGATGTCAAGAAAGTGCTCGGATCCCTACAGTGGCAGTAGCTGAATTTAGTGATTGAAATAGATCCACATTTGTTTTCTCAAAATCCCTATAAATTTATAGGAGATAATTGTATCTTTTGCACCAAGGAAACAAGGGATAGGTAGAAATTTCTTAAGAAACACCTGGATAGTTAGTGATAAGTTTAGAAAGGGTCAGCTTCTTTCATAATGGAAATAGTTCTCTTTATGTTTGTTCCTATTTTCCTTAATTCATTTAAGAAAATGATAAGGCTAACGTGTGGGTTGGTGGCTGGAGAAAAACTGAAATCATGGGATGGAGACAAGACAGAATTAGAGGTCATCTGAAAATAGTTCCCTCATTAGGTGCTGGTCTGTGGCAGTGGGGTGAGGTGGGGGTGGGAAGTGGTGGGTCTTGCAGAGACAAGTACTGAGGACCAGCACATAAATCCTGGAAGAAAAGATAAGGGCAGGAAGGGAACCAGGGAGTAGGAAAATTGGAGCAGAAACAGTGAGCAAAATTTTACATTCAAGATGCTGCATGTCTTATATTTGGGGTTCGTTGATCTACAGCTTCTCTCTCTCCCACTCCTTTTATATGCAGGTTCCACAGTCTGCCTTCAAAGGCACTTCTGGGCAAGGAAAATAGCAGAAACCTGTGCTGAAACTGCACAGGTTACTATGAGGAGGAACTGAGACCAAGATTTGTGAGGATGGAAGTTGGAAAGGGCAAAAACTGGGTAGAATTTGAGCCCACGTCCATTCGTGTTCCTCTTTTCCCAGCCACTGAAGAAGCTATTAACCTGGTTTTCTGGTGAAATCCTGTATTCCAGAGTGGGAGGGGTAAAGAAGGGTGGTTGGGAGAGCGTGGGAGAGACGTTTCTAACTTCTGGAAGCTGGATCTGTGAGGTGGACATGAGCGATTAGGTGAACACCTTGTCTCAAAGAGAAATTGACCATGCTTGATTCAAAAGTAATGAAGCAATCCATGTCTACATTTTCTCTCTGGATTAAATAGGAAACAGCAATACCACCCAAAACCCCTACAAAGAAAATGAAGGAAAACCTAAGTGTACCTTTCCAAAGAGGGAAAAAGAGTGCCCCTATGGAAAACTTGAATGCCAGCAAAAGGAAGGGAATTTTCGGTGGAGGCTGCTTCAGTCTCTGGAAGAATTTCAAGAGGACATAGACTTTAGGCATTTCAAGTATGAAGAAATGATGAGAGGGACATGGGATAGAAAGGTATTTGGAAAAGATAGGGAGTTTGAGAAAAAATGTTAGGGCTTTGCCCTGTAACTGTAGGTATTCTCAAGACTGACCACATCCCATTTAATGCATTTCCCCCTCAAAACATTTATTTTCTGTTAGTTAATATTGCCATTGCTTTCTTTTTGTCTGCATTTTCTTGCAAAATATTTGCAATCATTTTATTCTATTTTTCAATTGTTGGTTAGATTTATAAGAGTCTTGTCAACATCTCATCTTTGACCCAAACTTATTCATTTAATAAGGAGATCTCACTCATTCCATGGAATATGTTCACTGTGCATTGTAAAGTAAAAAATAACAAGCTAAAGAAAAGTGTGTGCATATATACATTTGCATATGACATAATGCAAAACAATGTTTGAATAATTTTAACATTAAATGTGAATGGTGAATCTGTGTGATTTGTATTTTTTTGCTTTTTTTTTTTTGTTTTTTGCTTCTCTGTATCTTCCTCATTTTCCAGAAAGAAAACATGAATGTATGTGTGTGTATTACTTGTGTTATACACACATTAAAAGAAAACTAGACACAATGAGAGAATTTGTCAATCACTTTTGGAAGGCAGTGAAACACTCAATAGATTCTTAATAATGGAAGTGTAAAGCAAAATCTAAACTTCAAATTACCTTGGGCACTCTTAGCCAGAGGAATAAAGCTGGCAATTATTATAAGATACAATACATACATTTAGGATTCGGTCTTTGCATGGGAAAATATTTGTCTCAGAAGGCTTCTGTGGGTAAGAATCGATCCATTATGAACTCAAAATTCTGCTTGGTGGCACCTTGTTCAACCAGTGCATACAGAATCCCAGTCTGCTGTAGAAGAATCAGTTATTTGAGAGAGGGCCAGGCATGACTCAACCTGTGCTCTGAAACAATTTCAATCGGTAAATAGTGGGGAGTCCATGCTCCCTTACCTATGGAGCCCTACCCCAGTCTCCTCTCCTCGATCCCACTGTACTTACTGACCCTCTTGTGCAAGGTCATTCATCTCTGCTGGCTGCCACCTCTGCTGGTGCACTGGAGGCCTTCAATGCCAAACCCTACTGAGTTTCCTGGAGTTCCCACAGAGTTGAACTCCAACTGCATACTTAAGCCTCTTTTTGCTTTATAGTGATACTTAACACAGGTGGAATACTGTAGTCTCTGTGGTCATAATGCCTTGCATGGTCCTTAGCAAAGCAATCTTTTCTGTTTTCAATCACAGGACCCTGCAGCTTCAAAGGAGTCCTGTGTGATGAGTTCATTTGAGAATTGAATGTGGGTACAAGTTTGAGTAAAAGACAAAGTGTAGTCAATTGCTGCTCTTCAGTCCAAGGAGTAAGTTCTTGTCTTCCTTCTTTTCTGAGCTGATCTCTCCCTGAAGGTCCTTGCTAGCCCTCTCTTACTGGTTCAGGAGACTCTCAGAGGACATGTGTAAATTGCACAAAGTAATATAGGGAACAGATCTAAGTAAAAAATCACCTTCTCTACACTCTATCCCTTCTTGAAACATGTGAATATATATATATATGCTTATGTATATACATATATAAATATATATGTTTTCTAAGACTAATATACTAAAACTAATGCATACACTTTTATGGATTTATATTAGTTTTACAAATTATGTATATGTATACAGTATATGTATATATGGCTCTGCACCATTGATTATTTGCATATGTAGCCTGCGTTTATCTTGTAGTCATGTATTCCATATGGCACATGAGGTTTCCAAGGTTATTGCAAGGAAAGTGAAAGTATCACTTGTGGTAGTTTCTAAGTCTTAGAGGTGCTTTATATAATATTTTATGGCCCCTACCTACATGCAAGGGAGGCTGGGAAATGAAAGAGAGCACATACAGTACTTATTGACCAATCAAACTTACATTCAGGATTTTAATCTGCAGAAATAAAAGTATATGCACAAGCATGTACATTACAGGTAGAATTTCTCTTAGTTGCAAAAATATAGAAATAATTTAATATAAGAAATTATTAATGAGAGATTGCTTGAACTACTTAAGATATAGTCATTATATGTATCAGTGCTTAATAGAGAAACAAATTTAATGCGAGACATACTAGTATGTAAGAATTTACAAGACTGGCTTACAATGGCTGCCCGCAGAGTCAGGTGTAGAAGAGCGCAAAGGGTCAAAGGACTGGAACTAGGTGTAGTGTCCTCACATTCGGAGGCCAAAGGTTCTGCAATGGAAGGCTGAAGGGTTTGTGCCAGAAGGCTAAAGGTTCCGTACTGGAGGGTGAAGAATCTGCACTGGAAGCCTGGAGCTGATGTCCAAGTTCTTTACAGACAAAGACTGGGGCTCTTCTGAAGAAAAAGAAGTGAGCCTCCCATCTTCGTTTCCCTTTTATACCATTCTGGCAACAATCTCCCTAGGGCAGGTCGTCCAAATTCAGAACTATGCTGATCCAATTTAGGTGGATATTTCTTACTCAAATTGACACAATCAGTTAACTATCACACTAAGAAAACAGATTAATTTCCATCTGTATTTACTGACCTCTGATAAGTATTACAAGACTTCTAAGTTGAAATAAAATGATACCAAATAGGTAATTCAAAGTCATATGAAGAAACTAAGATAAATATAACTACATAGGCAAATATAAAGGCAAGTACCATGGTACATATGCTTATAACTGCTGGCCTTTCCTGTGTGACTTAAAAGACAAATGCATAAAACAATAATTATAAAGCTATATTGATATACACAGTTGGTATAAAGATACCCGTTAAAGAAAGATGAAGTATAATAGAGATATTATATGATTATATGAAATAAAATCTCAGGGCCAGGGATATAGCTCAGTGGCACAAGTGCCTGCCTGGCAAGCACAAGGTCTTCAGTTCGATTCCTGGTACAAAAAAAAAGAAAAAATATATAAAACAAAATCTCATCACAAACATAAGGGTTTGATTATATTCCCAAGAAGAATCAATAAAGAAAAAATTTAAAATTTCACAGCAAAAGTAATTAGAATATAATTAAGTACACAAGAAAACATCAATTAATCATCAAAAAAGCAAAAATGGGAAACTGAGTAATTAAAAGATATAATTACACAGAAAATATATAGCCAAAAACCTACAAATACTGTAAGTCCTTTTCTATGATGGTTATTTAAATGTAAATGGTTACCGCTTCAAAGATATCTAGGATTTCTCTTAATCGGGTATGGTGAAACACAAGCATAAATAAACATAATAAAGTAGGAAGTTTTTAAAATCAAAGCTATAAATAGATTGAAAGTGAAGGATGGGAAAAAATTCAATGTTAATCATAGCCAAAAAAATAATGAGGCAGTTATGATAATAACAAACATAATGGTGTTTTAAATCATTTTTTGTAACACTACAGAAGGACATTATATGCTGATTAAGTGTCAGTTCCTGGAACACTATGTTACTCAGGGCTGCATGGGAAAACATTAGGTTCTGTCATGAGGCAGAAGGAGAGAGATGAAAAGAGGTGCAAGATATTTTATTGTGATTTTCTTGGGAATGAACAGATGTGGCTGGATAAATAGGTTTAAGACGGCTAGTTTAAATAATTTCAGTGGCTTAGGGGTGTAAGGGTTTTCATTAGTTTTCTGTTACCTGCCAGTGGAGAGTTTAGGGCTAGTAAGCCCTAAAAGCCTGATAAAGGAGGTGGTTGTATGGGTTCTGGAATTGGTGGTTTGTAAACTAACAGGGCTCTCACAACTTAATTGTGGGTGATCTCTAGGAATTAGCTAACCTTGAAAGGAACGGATTCTTTTTAGTTCACAAAGTCCCAGAGTTCAAAGTATCAAATACAGAAACTAGAAAATGTGGGTATTAAATTAAACTCTCCAATGAAAAGGCAGATAGACAGCATATATTTTGGATTTTTATTATCATTGTTTTGCTTTTGCAGTGCTGGCAATGAAGCCTAAGTCTTTGTGCATTTGAGTCAAGTGGGCTACCACTCAGCCACATTTCTCAGCTCTAGATTTTGAAAATTTATGTTCCAAATGTAAACTGTATAAAACAGCCTTATTTTAGATTCAAAGGTATAAAGAGATTGAAAGTTGAGAAAAATTCATAACCAAAAGGTAACTGAGGCAGCTATAATAATAACAGACATAATGGTGTTTAAATCAATTTTGTAACATTAAAGAAGGACATTATATGTTGATAAAGTGTCAGTTAATCAAGATGATCTTGGAAATGAAGAAAAACTGACAAATTGAGGGGGAAATGGATAGTTTTGCAATAATAATTGCAAGCGTTAATACCTTAAAACTAAACAGAAGATCAAGAGAGGAAGCAAGAGAGGAATTGAAAAACACTATAAGCCAGTTATTCGTAATAGATATATGTAAAATCCCAGCTAACAACAGAAAAGGAGACTTCTGGAAAGATGGCAGGATGATGAGCAGCACAGAAAGAGCCTCTTGAAGATCTGAGGTCCAGACACTGGAATATAGCAATGTAGAAAGGACCCAGGAAGGATCTGAAACAAGAATTGAAGCCCGTGGAGAGAGGAAAGAAGCAGACTTCAATGAAGAAGAAGGTGGCAGGTAGTACTTTCTCCCTGAGCCTGGACTCACTGCATGAAAGGGGCGGCTCAAACCTGAGGATGCACAGTGACTACTGGTGACCCCAGAGTCCTCCACCGAGAAACACACCAGTGCAACAGAGCAGTGGACACAGTGGACTACAGTGGCTGGTTAGTTATTTGGGTACAGACATTCCCCAGGAGAGAGCGATTGGCCAGGAGACATCTTTTCTGTTATTGCTGAGACAAAATACATGATGCTAAAAATGAAGGATGGAAAGGTTTATTTAGCTAGCTCACAGTTTGTGGAGGTTTCAGTCCATAACAGCTGGCTCCAAGGCAGGATGGCATGGCACAGGGGCAACAGTTCACAGAGGCAAAAGACAGCAAAAGCAACAAGAGCAAAAGGGGGGCAAGCAAGCTTCTTTTTCTACCTTATATTGTAAGCTGGTGTAGTAGATTGACAACTGGTGGTCAACTTATAACCCCCAGCTGAACTGAGTAAGTGTGATGCTGGGTGTGGGAGGCCCACCGGGGGATTGTTGCCAGCAGC